GCTGCATTCGGTACTATCATACTTTGTTTAATATACTAATCGCTTGGAATATCATGCAGGACAATGTCTGTTGGGTCATCTAGTTTATTAATATTATTACCTACATGAGTACCTATGCATTACTAATAGGTATTACTTATATTGTAGAAGATTTAACGAGTCCCAAATGGGGCAAGGGCTTATTTCTATGACTAACATATAAACTCAGTGGTATTGATAAATGAAATCTTCTTTTTTTATCTACACGGTTCTTATTATAAACATTACTTACCTAGAAATGTTCTTTCAGAAATAAGTCCTAATTTTTTAGGAACGCTCAAATTAGTAATTATAGTCAGAAAGCCTAAATATCTCACCCTAAACACACTACTTGTAATAAAAAACGAGTGTTATCGGCTAATCAAATATATATTTTTAACTGAAGGAAAATAGCACGACTCACGCGTGTTTTCACGGCCGGCGTATTTTTATCTAACGTAACGGATAACGACGACTAGACATCTGTACCGCGTATTATGAATTTTTAGTATTACTTAGTATTATTTGTAATGTAGTAGAAGAAGAAGTAAAAATTGGAAGAAGTGAACTAAATTATTATTGACTCTATGTAAAGGTCTTTAACCTATTGAACACTAGAGACGTGTAAACATTATTGCACCTCAATTGGCAGACTTAACGCTTATCGTAACGAGAGGCTCGATAAGAATTGCCCGTGCGCAGTCCGTCAGTACCGTGATCGACGCCGGCGCAGCGAGTTTGCGCGCCGTCCCATACGATTTATAAACATTGATATGTACGACCTGTGTTTAGTAAACTGTGCTATGAGTATATAGTGTTTGTATCAATTAAACGTTGACAAGGTGAGTCGATTTCAAAATACGTGCAGTTTTACAAAGGTCGTTGACTCGCGAATTGTTTATTTATATTTCATCTAAAAACAAAATCTAGCTCGTGTCGATGTATCAGAGCGTGCGCAACCAACCGTTTCTGACAATTCGGTTTCAATTTCACTAGGTAGGTGGTATTATATTAGAACTTTCTTTTCTTTTCACTGCGGAAGAATGGTTCTTCCATGTTGCAAATGTACCACGATCTTATTTCATCTCGACCTTAAGTTACTATTTATTAATAAGAAAAAAATAGTAATTAAGTTATGGTATTACTATATATGTATTATGGTACAAAAGATAATTAGCAAATAATATTTTAGTTCCTCTTAAACTCATTCCTAATGAAGCTATCATTCGAAATGAGTTTAACAAATAACAGCGTTTCGTTTGATATTTACACTTAATATCTGATTGATGACATAATTCTGTAATTAAAACGATTACATACAATTAGCATATTAATTAAATACATTTAGAAATATTGCTAAGTCCATATATAAACGTCGAATTCTATAAATCGAGAAAAGAAAATATAAAATTGTCAAGCTTTTCAAATCTATCTCAATCTATCTCAGTCTATATCAAATTTAATTGAAATTAGACTAAAAGTTATGGTAACGCAAATTTTCATATTTATTTATCATATATAATGCTATATCTACGGTATAAGTTACAAGCAAACTTTTCTAAAATACATGACAATTATGGTAAATATAAATTTTACAAAATAATAATAAATATACAATAAAAATATTACACTTACAATTTGGGATTTTACTAATAATAATAAAATAACGGATCTGGTATGAGATAGGCACTTAACAATTCGTTCTTTAAAATTGATCAGCCCACTACCGAATATGTCAAGAAGCAGAATACTATTCTGTTATAATTGCGAAAAATTCGAAAGAGAGGTGCCTGAACTCCTAGGTTGGTTTTTGCAGACGAAAATTTAAAAATTCTGCTGATTTGAGCCTTGGAAATGAATACGACAATGTTAATGTTCTGTATTTGACCATTTAACAACTTTTATAAGAACGTAACACCGGCTAGATTCATAATAATTGTATATTTTTACATAAAAAGTAACGTAACTATGCATATTTACATGAAATTATTGTAATTTACACCTAATAAATTACAGTAAAATATAAACAATAAAATATGATTCATGTTATATATATATATATGATAAAATGGATAAAAACGTTTTGTTGCCGATGTCTGTCAGCTGATTATGGTAAAAATATCTATGATCTAGCGCATCTTGTTGGCAGTTTTATTCTTACAATGTATCATAGAATTATCTCTTGACTGGGATATAATTAATTTCTAGCTTTATTTAAAACTAATGAGTCATTTGAGTCTAGTCTCTTTGTTTGATATTAAATTTACCAAAAAGAATTTTTTTTAACTCATTTATTTCAAACGTTTTAAGCCTGACTTATTGTAGATAATGAAAGGTTAGTGTTTAATACTTTTAAAATGTACTCTAATTAACTCGTTAATTACTAATTAATAAAACCAATTGCAAGGCAAGAAAAATTACCCCAATTTCTTCACTCGTTAGAATGTTCATCATTGCTATCTGTAAATGAAATTTTTTTAATATTTTCGACAAGTAGATAACGGACTTGCCGTTAAGTACATTCGGATAACAAAAGCGTTAACTTATTATTATAACTGATTAATATCAAAACTTTTCATAATAAAAATAATTTACTGGCGCTAGCACCAGACACCAGTTATGGGTTAAGCCACAGTTTGCAACCATTCAAGACTTCTTTAACTGAAAAAAACGCAAGTTTATTACATTCGTTAGATAAGTGTACGTTTGTTTCTTTTCTTAGTAGCAATGCATATATCCGTCGTTACACAACTGAACGTACTGAACGAATAATGTTTGCTGCCTATCAAAGCATTTGTGAACCAACTCCACTTATAGTACATCATAAAAAGTCTTTTGGCAGAAACGTATTAAGTGATCATGGGCGGCTAACTAACTCATTAATATCGTGAGCCGACTGCTTGTTTGTGCTGTTCTAAAAAAAGTAAATATAATTTATGATTAAATGCATCATGTAATATGGTAGCACTGATAAGAAATATAGTAACGGTCGTTTATTTACAACAAATATTTGGTATTAGATAATAATATTGGTAATATTCGGAATAATATTTCGTTGTTACCACTTCCGTTGCGGTAGATCGGTTAGATGTCAACGTAGTTACAATTCTGAATGTCTGCATTTTCTCTTAATTGTTATCGTATTAGATAAATATATCGTAATAACAGTACAATATTTCCTAAATAATTAATCAACATACACATAGTGTTTTATCTAAAATAGATTAACCGGAAAAAATATACGCAAAACAGATAGAACAAGCATTACAATCATATACCCGGATAACCAGGCGTTAGTCAAATAGATTTGAGAATATGTTTAGATAATTTAAGCAGCGATTCATTCTCAAGTCAACATTGTTACGCAGTATCGTGTGAATTATTTAAAATAACGTAATGTTTGCGAATCTCTAACCTTTAAACAGTATGTTTTCGTTACTTTACGATTACTAACTGTTTAATACTTAACAGCCTATAAAACTACTTTATACATAAATACGTACATAGTATTTTTAAATAACAAAATAAATGAATTGCAAATTTGTTTAAGAAGGTTTTCGTTTTGGTTAAAATAAAATGGTCGTCATTGTATGTTGATACAGGTTAAACGTCTGCTTTCAATTGCCGGAGATTGTCTATTAGGAACTTGAATACTTCCTTCGTAAACCCATATCGCTTGTATAGGTACTTTATAAATGAATATGAGCTGAGTAAAACTCATAAGAAATCAGAAATGAGACAACCATGAAGCTTCATTACTCTAATTTAATTTTAATTTTATTTTATCGTTTAATGGTCTCTATGCCTCCAATGGTTTGCGGCGCTAAAACCCTTGGAATCAATCTTCTCCAAGGCCTCAAGTTTCTGTATCTGTTTCGTAATCATATTCTTTTTCTTAATTTGCAAGTACGTGATCTGTATTCTGTGTCTAAGGCATGCCGGTTTTCTCACGATATTTTCGTTCCCCGTACGAGCGAGTGTAGAATGGATACATAGAATGAAAAGTCAATTCGGGAAGCGGGATTTGAACCTACAACCTAAGGGACTGAATCAAGTCACTAGGTCAACGCTGCTCTCATGAGAGGGTTAGGAGACTGCATTAATATTAGTTCCATAATTGGTTTGTTAAGTAAAAATTAAAATCTCACGTAAAATAATTGAATTAAATTAATAACTTATACTTTTATTCGCAATAAATATGCAAATTTATTTTAATCATGAAATAAACCAATCTTTTAATTCTTTATTTTCTTTTTCTTTAAATTCTTCGGGCACCCCCGAAAATTGAAAAAGAATTACTACGAGTACTACTACCACTACCTCAGTGCCCAGTTCTTTAGAGACTTTTGATATCTCTAGCACTAGCCACAACATACCCACAACCATTATCATATTTTCGATTTCCGTCTGACCCGATTATCCTTTTTTAAATATAATCTATGTCAATGTGTGTCAAAATAGATGTTGGTAGTTACGCAATAAAATTCTTGAGTCGTAAGGACACCGTATAAGGACGAATTCGGCAATGTTCCCTATTACGTGTGACACATAACAAATGTTGTATAACGAATGACGAACATTTAAGAAAACACTTATTTACATAATATAACAATGGATTCTTTTATGAATATTTATTTATTATAGGTGTATTATCCTAGTAGCTAAGTATTTGCTTCTCAAATTTAAGGTCGTGCGTTTGAAGTAATGGATTTATCTTTCCATCTGAGCAATTAACAGTTACAAAACTTCAATCCGGTAAAAATGTGTTTTCTTTAAATTAACAGTTACTCATATGGTGAAGAACGTCTTTTAAGCTCAGGAGTCTTCATCTACGAGATCTTGAAACAGAAAAACTTTAAAATTTTCTGCATAAGTTACCTTTTTGCTTATGTTTATTAACAGAATACGAACCGATCATCCCACTTATACACTCACGCACTCTCTTAAAACTAAACTTTTTCCAGATCTAATCGGAGACCACAATGGCTATGAAAGAATATCTCCAATGGTTGCCACCTCCTCGTTCTCTGCTGGCGCTCTTGATGGCTGTGACTGGCTTCAGTGGGCGTCTATTTGCAGCTCACGTCGCACATTCACCGACACTTCTTGTGGACGCCTGCCATTCCTTGTGTCGACTTATCGGTCTTATCACAACTCTATTAACTTTTAAGGTAAGCATAGATTGAGTGGAGTTTATCACGAAGTGTTGAAAACCGCTTGACGTATAAATATGAATTTTTTTATACACTTACAAGCGTCAACTAAGAAAGGATCTTCATTACTACGCGGATTCTTCTTCTTTTGAAGAGTTTTTTACAAATGTACCACTAAATACGACCAAGTCCCTAGATTCTTCACCTGCTGCTGCGATCTCATTGCTAGAAAAATGTGTACCTGAATGTAATATTAAATTTCAGTTTAAACATATAACTTGTAATGATATCGTTAAAACTTTTAAGCTTATTAATTTAAAAAAAAGTAAAGATATATGGGGTATGTCAACAGTCATTATAAATTCCGTTATTAATGTAATAAGCTCTGAATTGTCTATAATTTTTAACAGATGTATCGATTGTGGAGTCTTTCCGGACGAAATGAAATTAAGTAAGATTACACCGTTGTTCAAGGCAGGTAGTGAGTCTGATCCGTCAAACTTCAGACCTGTTTCCGTGCTCCCTGCGTTGAGCAAAGTTTTTGAAAAGATAATGCTAGACCAGCTTTCTTTACATTTTAATAAAAATAAACTCTTACATAATAAACAGTATGGTTTCACTAAGGGTCGCTCCACAATCGATGCCGGTGTGAAGTTGATTTCGGATATATTTAACGCCTGGGAAGAATCATATGATGGAGTCGGCGTCTTTTGTGACCTGTCAAAGGCCTTTGACTGTGTTCATCCTGATATACTCGTTGGAAAGCTTCAACACTATGGCGTTGATGGCAAAGCTTCCAGCCTGATGAACTCATATTTAAAGGGAAGGATCCAAAGAGTTCATGTCAATGGAGTCACCTCTCCGGGTTCGCAGGTATCAATGGGCGTCCCCCAAGGATCGATTCTCGGGCCTTTCTTATTTCTGATTTACATAAATGACCTCCCATTCTTTGTCAACGAAGTTCATGAGATGGTATTGTTTGCTGATGACACTTCACTTCTATTTAAAGTGAATAGGAATAACGTATTATTGGACGATGTAAACAATTCTATCTCTCGTATAGTTAACTGGTTTAATGTAAATAACTTACTGCTTAATGAGAATAAAACAAAATGTATTAGATTTACAACTACTAGCGTAAAGCGAGATATTGGTAACCTGAAAATTAAGGACAGTGAACTAAACTTTGTTGACAAAACTGTTTTTCTAGGCATAACAATAGATAGTAAACTCCAATGGGGCCCACACATAGAGATTGTTTCGAATAGGCTGAGCTCTACAGCATATGCAGTAAAGAAAATCCGACAGTTTACTGATAAGGACACGGCTTAAATTGTGTATCATAGCTACTTTCACAGCGTTATGTCGTACGGTATTTTACTGTGGGGTGCTGCTGCAGAGGTTCAATCCATATTTGTGCTGCAGAAGCGGGCTGTTCGGGGTATTTGTTGTGTTTCTCCGAGGGAGTCGGTACGGAATAAGTTTAAGGAATTAAATATTATGACACTATCTGGTCAATATATTCTTGAAGCCTTTTTGTATGTCCAAAAAAATATAAACGATTTTAAAACAAATGGTGACTTTCACCAGTATAATACGCGAAATAGAACTAATTTGAGTGTACGACCAACCAGGCTCCAAAAGATAAACCACTCCTTATATGGAAATGGTATTCGTTTTTACAACAAACTCCCAAGCGAAATTAGAGACTTATCACTAAATAAATTCAAAGCCCTCGTTAAACGGCAATTAATCAATAAAGCGTTTTATAAATTTGAGGAATACTTAAATTATCCTAATCCTTGGGATTGATTTTCTCCAGTTCAAACAATTTGTATGACAATACTTGGCGATTAAAAAGAGTGGCGGAAAGTTTCTTGCCAGTTCTTCTTACCCGCTCTACGCCCTTGACTTGCGAACTGGTAGTAAATGTAAATTTACAATTAATTTAACTTGACAATTCAAAAGTGTACTTGGTTACCCACTTGAATAAAGATATTTTGAGTTTTGACGAAGTCGCGAGCAACAGCTTGCGATTTTTAAAGATAAAACGACTTCTAAATACAACACAAAAAAGCTGATTTTTTTTGCCATAAATTAGTCAAATATGCACAAGAGGTAACGCTCCAGCAAGCGGGCTCCAACTCGGCCATAAATCCCATGATGATATTTCCGGAATAGTTGTAGCCCAGGCCCGCACGGGAGATGCCAAACCTTTTAAGCAAATAAAGTCCCGTTTAGGAAAGGGGCGATTTGGCACTCCTTTGCTGCCTAGCTTCTCGGCCACAGATCTGCTTGATCTCGTGCCTGTAAGGCTACTGTGTAGGAGTCCAAAAAAAAGAAATATAACACTACGTTACAACCATATTATAAAATGTAGTCAAAACTACCAAGGCGGGAATTAGATAACAGAAAGATTCTGTAAGGTGATTCTAAATTGGAACATTTCACCCAACTTGATAGACTGCACTGGTTGTTATGTATTTTCGTTTCATATATTTGAAAATATAACAGCATGGTAACGCTTCAGTTCTTATCAAACTGTAAAATTGTAGTTTCTTAACAATCCGAATAAAATGCATTAAATAATCGTTACTCGAAGGTTATTTTTTTATCTTTACAATTATAAATAATATGTAAGTAAATAATTAGTTTTTATAGATTATTCCAAGGTAAGCTTATATCGACTGATTATTTGAACGTAGAAATTTTCTAACGGCGGTACTTAGAGTAAAAATAATTACAGTAGATAACTTTTTTTTTAAAAGAAGCATGCGAGGATGTATGGGCCGTACTCCTTTACTAGACTAGACACACTCTTTTTGATCTGTTTCATTGATTATTCCGGCTGAAATATTATTTCACGGGATTCAAACCTCCCCAATCCTCCACGTTACCATGTGCGATAAATATGAAACCACGATAAAAAATAAATGTAATATAAGGCACATCGATGTGTAAATATAATTTAAATTGTAAATATGTAGTTTAACGTTTCAAATTTGTATTACACACTCAGCAACAGAAACATATGTGATCAGAGTTAGAAAATAACATCATTGAATGTAAACATATTTTTATAGTATGAACGAGCTGATGAAGGTGCTGGACGCGAAGGCCGTCTCCGGAACACATTCGGTTGGGCCAGAATCGAAGTCCTCGGAAGACTTTCGGTGCACGTTCTCTTCGCGTCGTTTTCCCTTGCCTTAGTAGTGAACGCGCTGCAGCTGGGCGTGCATTCATCTCATGTTCAGCCTCCAAGATACCCCAGGGTCATTTTGGGAAGTGGTGTGATCGGTCTACTGCTGAATGCCATCAACTATCTTCTCCTCGCGGGTGAGTTACTATACAATTTAACTATAATAATACAGTAACATAGTTGCATACCACATATTATTTTTAAAAAAAATCATTACACAATATGTCCTTGAGTTGTATTTTTCTTATATACCAAAAAATTTGACTTTTTTAAATATAAGTCTAGACGTTTTCAAGTAGAGAATCATACATAAATAAAGTATGTTTAAAAGAATGTAAATAATTGTCAATCGCCTTTATTTAAGTTGGTATAAAAATAGTATCGCTTTCCATTTGAAGTACCTAAGCTTACCGCAAAGAAATGGAATGACATAATAACTACTAACAAGTGAAATTCTATTTGCGTCATACTAACATACTTATTATATTAGGTCCTTACATATGAAATTGGCGTTTTGTATGGGAGGAACAAAAAGTCGAATATTTTTAAATATAATATATTTAATTAATCAAAGTATGAACCATTGTTTTCTATGCACTTTTGCCATCTCATAGGTAGTTCATTGATCCCTTTACTAAAAAAACCAGTCGGACGGGCATCAATAAAATCTGTGAAGGCGATTTGGACTGCCCCATCAGAGTTAAATTTTTTCCCTTGCAAGAAGTTGTCCAAATTTCGAAAAAATGGTAATCTGTTGGAGCAAGGTCCGGGGAGTACGGAGGATGTCTTAGACATTCCAATTGAAGCTCTTCTAATTTGGTAGCCGTCTGTTGTGCAGTGTGTGGTCTAGCGTTGTCGTGAAGTAGCAGTGGCGTGGAGCGATTGACCAGCCTAGGTTGTTTAACCGCTAGCTTTTCCATCATGGTTTGCAATTGCTGACAATAGACATCAGCCGTAATAGTCTGGCCAGATTTGAGAAAACTGCAATGAACAATACCGGCACTAGTCCACCAAACGCTTACAAGTAACTTTTTTGGGGTTAATTTTCGCTTGGGGCAGGATTTGGCTAGCTGGCCAGGATCCAACCATTGCGCTGAGCGCTTCCTATTATCGTAAAGAATCCATTTTTCATCACAGGTAATGATTCGGTTTAAAATACCTTCATTATTGTGCCGGTTCAGTAATGTAACGCAGCAGTCGACGCGCGTTTGCCGGTTTGCTTCAGTCAATTCGTGAGGTACCCATCTTTCAAGCTTTTTAATCTTCCCAATTTGCTTCAAGTGAATTAAAACAGTTTTATCACTAACACCGCAGCCTGCAGCTAACTCGGACGTGGTTTGCGATGGATCCGCTTCCACAATAGCCTTCAATACTTCATTATCAACTTGGGTCTCAGGCCGTCCACGGGGCTTGTTCTGCAGGTTGAAATTTCCAGAACGAAAACGTTGGAACCAAAAACGAACTGTGTTTTCTTTTGCAACATGACCGCCATTCACATCATTCACCCTTCGAGTCGTTTCCGCAGCACTAGTGCCACGGCGGAACTAATACTCGTAAATAATGCGATACTTTAAGTTTTCCATTTTGTAAAATGAGTGACGCAAACAGAAAAAAACAAATGAATGACGGTCATCGAAGCACAAATACATGAGTAAATAGCTGTACAAATTTGAATTTGGAATTCCTTACCAAAGAGGAGAACATCGTGATTAAAGTGGCCAGTACGAAAAACGCCAATTTCATATGTAAGGACCTAATATTAACTTTAAAATATTAGTTTAGTATTGATTTTTTTACATGCAAATTTTATTCGCTACAATATATTAAAAGAAATCCGTAATATTATTAGATAGGATATGTATAAGAGTATTGGTCAATAAATAAAATCCGCAATTCTTAAGGATCTTAATTATTGACAGGACGAGAACTAAGTTATAGTAGAAGACTGAGTGTGACAGAGGGCGGGGGAGTGGTTCTCAAATCAGGATCAAGGGAGCCTGTACTGGCGCATGCACCGAGCGATATTACAAGTATGTATCAATCATGGGAATTATTCAGATTAGAAGTATACCTACTGTTTAATTATAAACATACCCAAACACTGGTTGTGAAAACTGTGGCTGACAACATTCGACAATTTAAAAAAAACAGGCGATCGACTTTTGTTTGATATTGCTCTGGGCTCAGCTTAATCTACTTGCAAAAATCCGTTATATCGGTTTTGGTGAGCATGCATCCAAAGAAATTAATAAAAGTTTGTTAGTTCTGTCTTTTATTGACATAAAATTTCACACATTTGATAATAAAACAATTTTTTACCGGATTGAAGTTATGTATTTACAATTATTTTTCACAATTTTAAATTTAACCGACGTTTCGTTAAATTAAAAATTAATTAATTAATTTAAACGTCGGTTAAATTTAAAATTATGAAAAAAAATTTTATTATTATATTTGTTAGTTCTGTTAACATTTTAAGACACGTGGATTTGGCTGTTTCATTCATACCGGAAATATAGGAAAGGTTTACGTTTGAACATATATTTTACTATTGTTCGTGAAATATATTGACTTTTATATGTTTTCGTGAAGGTAGCTTGTGTGTGATGGCTGCGGGCTTAACATTGGAATGGGAGCCTAGTGTGGCGGGTGTGGCTGACCCCGCCCTTTCCGCGTGTGCTGCTATACTACTTGTCACAATTAATTATCCATTCTGTAAGTATTTATTAATGAGATACAGATACAAGTTTAGGCTCTTTCATGACATTATGTTTCAATCTCACTTATCAGTTTTTTTCGGACTAGCAACAATAAGATTACTCTAAAATCCGCACTGATAATAATACATAGTATGTTTCTTTTATCGCTTTCCGGTTTACCCCCTATTGTATATTTATTTTTATGGAATAGTTTAGAGATGGAATCCTCCCGTGGATACTCTCAATGCCAGGGGGCTCGCGAGTGCGTTGCCAGCCATTTAAGAATTGGTACGCTCTTTTCTTGAGGACCCTAAGGCTAATTGGTTGTGAAATACTTGTGGGCAGCTGGTTCGTTATAGTGGTGGCGCGGCAAAAACTGCCTGAAAACGCTCAGGTGTGGAACGGCGGCATACCACCCCCAGTAGTGTTTTTTATTTACTTTTTGAGACTGATCAATCTTCTCAGCGAACCCATCAGAAGCAAATATTATTTCGCCTAAAATCTAACCTAGGTTCTCCGCTATGCTAAACCGCAGAAGCGGTCCGTTCTAATTTTGTATATAACAATTTTAGAACAAATGTTAATAAACAAATATAAATATATTTATTTGTAGCGCGGTAAATAGTTAACACCATTGAGAGATGTTTCAACAATTTCTTAACAAAATATTATATTCCCAATATCTTGGTTTACGCGAACATTAATAAAATTGTTTACATAAGCCAACGTTTCGACGGTTTTTTAACCATCGTGGTCAGCGAAAGACGGAGTTGTAAGAAATTGTATTTAAATCTTCAAGCATTTAAAAAGCCAAACATACATCACGTCATACATGTATTTCGATGCCGGTTTCATTTATTTGAGTTCATTCACCTCCATTTGTACTAATAATTTTCTCTTGCGTGTTTATCAATTTATCATCATCTCATTACCATGGCTTATCGTGCTTTATAATCTCTTGAAAACGCAAAAAATCTTAGCCTCATTAATCGTTGCGGTCTATTTGGAACCTAGTTGTCGCTTCGAGTAATACAATTATTTTGTAACGATTACAAATTGTTTATCAAATTTAAATTCATAAAATATTGTCTATCATCTACATTTATACAGGATTTTAGTACATATTATGTCTAAAATCTATTTCACGAATGCCTGTGTAAAACAAATAGGATAATCCTTAAATCCTTAGGCTAGCTTACATTAAAACCTGCCATTTTAATTCCAAAGACGAGTCCGAAATAATTTTCTAGATTTCATTAAACTGCACAAAATGTATTTCTATTCATTGGTTCAATAGATAGGTTGGTATTTCGTATAATAGTTTTTTCGTATTTAAATTATACCAATGAAGCCAAATCACGTTTAAATAATTATTACATACCTAAAAATATCCTAAATAGGAAATTTGTTCTAAAACTTATACCCGAATAGCATTAGCTATGTCATAATCAAAACGGAATAGTATATTTCATTACAAGTGCGGAAAGCCTGTCATTGCAAAGAGTTTCGACAAATGTCTACCCGAGCCGAGGCGCAGCCGAAGGTGAGGGTTGACAGTCGGAACAAGTTGCAATGACGGTTCCGCACGTGTACTGAACAACTATTTTTAATACAGTTGCGAAAAAATTATGCAATTTAATAAAATAATAAAAAAACAATACTCAACTCACTAATCATTTATTTCTTATACAAATTATTGTTCACATATACATTGGTACAGTTTTTTATACTAACTGGAGAAGTTTTAGGTTGCATATTTATTTACTGTTTGAGACAAACTATTATTTATTTCGTATGATTGTTCATGTATATTTAATATATAATATAACAAACAACTAAACGCGCAAAGAACATTTTTGGAAAATGGCGCCAACCGTAAAAGAATATAAGCAGATATTTTTTTTTCTTCACCCATTCTGGGTAGGCAAAGGGAACTATGCCCATACAGCCAAGTCTTCAGTACAATTTTTTATTGATATGAAATTAAATTTAAGGAGATGAAATGAAATCTAACCTAACTCATTGAATCAAATCATTAAATCTTATATTGAAACAAAGCAGTAGCTTCTTTTTAGAAATATTTGCATGAATCATAAAAATTTCTATGAATTTTTTTTAGTAAAAACTTCGTGGTTGGTTTTTTCTTTTTAATAGACATTATTTTGACAGTTGGGAAAGAAAACGCACTAGTTCGGAAAAGGTAAAAAAAAAGCACGAGTGTGTAATAGCCCACATCCCGAACGCTATACGTCCCTGCAATACGCCACTTTTTAAGCAACTGTATTAAAAAATACTTTCCGTTCTTCTTTTAATGATGATATACGAGTATATCTGTGTATAAGTGAGCTTATTTCTTGCCTTTCCCAGGCTAGCCCGATAAGAAAAATAATCAGTCAAACTGACATGAGTCTTCTATTATCTACCACAAGTCCGTCATAAAAAACACGTGTCACCGAACTTAAATGTTAAGAAATTATATATTAGATAATAATGTTGCAATGTTATACAGTGAGATCAGCCGGGCTGGTTCTACTCCAGACGGTACCAGAAGGGCTCGGAGCCTGCGAGTTGCGAAGTGCTGCATTGCAGGTGCCAGGAGTCCTCGCCATACATGAGCTGCATGTCTGGCAGCTGCACCGGGACAGATTGGTCGCTACTGCGCATGTCTGTTATAACTCTGAAGATGTGAGTGTAATGCATTCTTTTGATTAAAGCATTGTTTCATCTCCTGTCGAATTTGTTTGTGATGAGCCATAAATGAAAATATATGTTCTTTCAAAGATATATTTATAAAACTGTACATAATAATTTTTCAAATGCTTTCGATATCTTTTCGATAATCTTCATTGCAAATATATAAAAAAATCAGTGTTTCAAGGCCTGTAGTTTAGAGTAATTGCAATTTAGAGGGAATTCTTTTTATTTCCAGGACTTTCTGAAAAGCTCAAATCAAGTGAGCGATGTATTTAAACGTCATGGAATAAACTTGGTTACATTGCAGCCAGAGTTCAGCCTTGCTGCAATCACAGGTTTTTATAGATTTTCATTTTGCTAATAGAAATGTAACACATTTTTGTATCTTGAGAAAACTACTCTAATCCATATAATCCTCTATGAAATATATCACTTGAAACATATCAAGATATATATCGCAACCTTGCCCTCGTTTATCGTACAAATGTTTTATCGATAGATACTTGGGAAATGTAAAAGATGACAAAATAGGTCATATTACTTTCAAGTGGGCAAAGCTTGTACTAGTGATTCAACCTGGATTTTCTTACTTCGAACTTGTGAATTCAAGTGTACGTTTTGCTAACGTTACTTTGGCTTTACTACTAACGTAACACTCAAATGTTTCTAGAATGTACTGTCATATTTTAGTGCTACGTTAGTGTTAAGGACAACACATTAAATCGCTATTTCAGGCTTGTTGAACTTTGAAGAACCTCGGAAAATTTTCAGGAAACTTTCTGGGAAAAACGTTGCACTTCAAGTTACTTGACTAATCATTTGTAATCAGCCCTTTACACAGTTTTAATCTAATCTTTGTCTTTGGAAAACTTACAACAAACCAAATATGCACTATATTTGGTTTCACTACTCAAACTCTAGAACTGAGAAATCTTGTTCAATTTGTCAGTTAAATTTTTACCGTCAACTACAAAGGTTAACTTGTCAGCTTGATTATTAATTTATATTCCTTGGTGTTTGATATTACATTATTTTTATTGGGAAAACAAAAAACAATACGTCAATTACTAAACAGTTTATTAAAAAAACGTGCTATCTTTATCTAGGAGTTATGTACGCATTATTTGTAATATTCGTTATTTATTTGCATATTATTTCCAGATTCGGGTGAAGAAAAGAAACATTTAATAGATTTAGCAAATGCTTGCTGTTCCTGTCCGTGTGCCAAGGAGTGTACAGCACCGCGGTGTTGTGCGGCGCCTCCAAAGCCTACCATCACACGAATATAGCACTACTTACAACCGTTATTAAGACACAACATTGTCTGAACACTCTTTTACTCTCTCGAAGCTTGACTCTGAGTTGTCTACATTTTGGGATTTGATACCGTAAATGTTTTAGTTTTAGGAATCGTTTTAGTTTAACATTGTCTCAAACGAGGTTAGAGGGTGTTTTCAATTATTATTAAGTAAGGTTTGACCTACGTTATTTTATTATTAAGCCCCGATTTAAGTTTTGCTAGATTTAAGGAAAGCTCTCCGTTTTTAATTCAAAAAATTTATTAATATTACACGTTATATCATAAATCACGAACATATCGGCAAAACAGGGACCCTGTACGGGCTATGTATGTTTCATTGATGCCTGTTAAAGGAAGATCAGCCTTCATAACCTGTTTCGTTGGGAATCGAACCCAGGCACCACATGCATTATACACCGCAGTCGCTAAGCATATATATACGCAGTGTATATATGAAAATAATACATTTTATTTAATATATCTTCGATATGAAATTATCTTAGAGATAGATGTGGTAAGCAAGGTTATCTTATAGTGCCAATCATATATCAATATTGTGTTACCAAGTTAGGACCTAATCTTCGAAATACACAAAATAATTGTGTGAAAAAGAGTTAACTTGTGTGTTCTGTAATCTAGTTTATACGAGTAGGTAGATTAAGTACAGCCAAAGACGACTTTCCTACCAGTTGGAAAGTGACATTTTCTATTAATACTAACTTTTACGCTCTAGTTGTTTCGCCGTAACCTACAAGATATTCAAGTTTAGCATTCGTGATAGAAAATAAGTTACTTCACAGAAAAATATGAAACACTCTCTATAAATTCAAACGCCACTATATTACAATTATTTTTCCATTCCAATAACAAACTGCACCAAATCGTATTTTTTTTACAATTTTGATTGTAAAAATTTGTCAAAAGTTGTTTGCCTATTTTAAAAAGTTTAATAAGGTGTTTCATACACATGAAACAAGCACACTCTCGCGTAAATCGCATCTGCGGCCATCCGCTTTAAGCGATGACAAATATTTATTTATTCAAAATTAAAAGTTTAGAACACAGGTCTGTTTTAAGGGCTATGTAATGTAACTGAATATTTTAAGGTTTTGACATCAATCTTTAATTTTAGCTTTATTGAGAGGACTGCGTGTGGAAGACTATAACGTCATAAAAAAGCTTTTCTTTTTAATTGAAAAGCTACTCGGTAGGAATTTTGCTTACGTCGTCTACGTACTTTACAAAAATAAAAATCGTAGTTTGACACTTTTTATAGTCATCCACAAATGCAGTAGAGTAAAAGACCTTATAATACGATAAACGATAAACTGATAAAAATTAATGAAGTTAAAATCCTATGACAAAGAAGCGATTGTTGCATCAAATGGATTATTGTTATCTTACAATGCCTTTTCTTCTCAGAGGTCACATTCATTTTAACCGTTAGTGCAAATGTCGATAACCTTAAAAGCTCACCGAAGATTCCCGAACACTTCGTTGAATATGCTTTATAAAAAATATTTAAACACTAATTAAACGAACTAAGACGCTATTTTATAATTAACTTATACTAATTTTATGTTGAAGTTTGAATTGGAAAATTATTTTTGTGTCAAAGTTAACGCAAGTAAAACCAGTTGGTTAAAAGGCTAATTTATAGTAAAAGCAAAACAGTTTTGAAATGAACTTATTACCAAGAACTTTTTTATATACCGCGTCGAACGGCTAAAAAAGTAAGAAAAGTATTGAGTAAAATGTATCAATTTTTTAGAGCTTCTCGAATCAGGTTTTTTTGATCGCATAGTGCTCTCAAATTTAAAAATATAGCACTAAAAACGTACATTGAAAACTTTTTTAAATACAGTAAAAAGTATGATTACTTTATCGCCGAATCGTAGTGAAGAAATACAATACTGAATGAAGCCTTTTAACAATAATATTTTACTACCTAGGCATCTCATCTACAGCTATTGTAATTTAATTGTATGGCAATGATATTAGGTCACGCTCTGGTGATCCATATAATTATTGTACTGGGTCAAGCCTGCGGCAATATTTGTATCCAGATTATTGTTGAACCCTATGTAAATTCGTTTAAGCTTGCCCGTTTATTTTAAGTAGTATTGTAAGTTTATTGGTGCTTATTGTGATGTACAAGTCTCAAAAATTAAAAATATATCTTTCATTATCATTAAAAAAATTTTAGAAGTTTATATATTATAAAAAGACATATATCATAAAATGACGACTCATTGGTCTAGTGGTTAGCCCCCCCTGACTGCGAATCCATGGGTCCCGGGTTCGATCCCCGGCTGAGACGAACATCGATGTGATGAGCATTTGGTGTTGTGCTTAGGTCTTGGGTGTTAAAATATGTATTTATATGTCTATCTATCTATAATATGTATGTATATCCGTTGCCTAGTACCCATAACACAAGCTTCACCTGCTTAGCAAGGGACTAGGTCAATTGGTGCGAATTGTCTTTAAAAAAAAAAGTGTTAGTATTAAATATTTGAAGTACCATTTGATTTACGATATATATAATTTGTGGATACGTAAACTGGTTTATTCTAGTTCCTGTACATCAAAATCAGCACCAATCTGTTGCATTTTGAGCGTTGTTCAATTAGTACGTAAGTCAAGTTATCATAATGAAATGTCTGGAGATGTAACTGTGATGTTCCTAAGAGTATTATTATATAATTATAATATCGCTAGAATTAGGAACAAGTGATAAGTAATATTTTAACACGTAATGTACAAAT